CACGGATAGAGGGTTTCAGGGGGCTTAGCTCGTTAACTCGTTGTCCCTAAGCCGTGCCTAAGAGCCCCGATGAAACCGAAAGGTCGTCGCTGCCCGTCACGGAACTGACAGGGATTCGGCGCCTCGTGATGTTCTTCATAGTTCGGTGGTCCACGCACCCTTTCCAAGAGTAAGCTGGAAGCCAAATCGGTACATTGAAAAGACATGTACATGCAATTTGTTGCTGGATCAGGAAGCCCTTTTGCGTCGACTGCATTCCTAGATGAGGTCAACGTGGCGTTGACGAGTGCGGCGACAGCTGGGGTTCGGCAATCACTGGCAAAGCCCTTCGGCCTAGGGCGGCTTATGGCTTCTGGTCTTGGCTGCCTGTAAAGTCTAGTCGAGCTGTGACATGTTCCCCCGGATGTGGAGGGGTCTCACGTTTTCCTGTCCGGCCCTTTACAAGGATGATACTGCTGTGCTGGTCACTGGCTGCCCGCAGACAGGCTAAACAAAGAAGTCTCCACCCCCCACCCCTCCACCCCTCCACCCACGCCTCCCTCCACACCCCTCCACCCCCCTTCCACCCCTCCAGCCCTGCAGTATTCTGCGGTGGTCCCCATCCCCGCCTCCCCGCCACCCATGAAAAAACATGCTCTTGATTCTTGGTCTGGTTTCTTCTTTGATGATGCTGCATGATGCCGATACGCTCTTGGTGCGAAAAATCCGGGTTGCTTTGGTTTGGCGCAGGCGATTTTTGCTCGTGTGTTTTGGTCAGTCCTAGAAAGTTCTCTTACATCCATGCTAGTATTTTCCCGAAGACACCCTACATGGGATATGTATCGACTGTGTTTTTGGGGGACCATGGGAGGGGAGCCGCAGGCTCTATGGCCTCAACTTGAGGTGGAGGTTGAAGGGTTGCGGAGGGGTGGAGGGGGGTGGAGAGTGGTGGAGGGGTGGCAACAAGCTTGGTGCACTGCTCGTTGTGCGTGCTTCATCTTTGCAAAGGGGACTTGCATAGCGGTTCTTCAGGGTGGTTCAGTCGCAAACGTCTTGACGTAGCTCCCTTGTGGTGACTGTTTTCATTTTGACCTTTCGTGCTTCCGAAGCATTTTCGGGTATGGAAGGGGTTCAGAAGTCCGTCAAGGCGTACAGTCGCTGCTCATGTTGCTGCTATCCTTCACAGCTTCGGCAAGTCCCCAGTAGCCCCAGTCCCTAATCACAAAGCCTTCAACTTCCCCATTGTTACGCATCACCCCTCCAACCACTGCAGCCTATGCCACCTGAGTTGGCTTTGGCCCCAAGGAAGCCGAGCTGACGGAGAAACCGGTCGAGCGAACAGCCTGGGCTTGATAGAGGTGGCACGGCAGGGGCCGGAGACGGGGTGGTGTTCCGGGCAGAGTGCGGGCTTACGGAGCACTTGTACAACTTATGCTTCTCAATCCTGTGACGATGCCTTGGTTCTTGGCCCGTGGCTTTTCGTTGCGCCCGTTCGTAGGGTAATGCATTCTCTTGTCCAGAAGGTCCAAGTGCCCCGGCGTTACAACTCGATTTCGCCTAAACGACAACTCTAACTCTGGCTACAGGAGGTCCTGTATGGGATGGCCATACTTAGCATTTGTTGAGCTTAGTCCTGACCCATCCAAGCTTGGATTACTGGACCTTTTGCTTTGAGCCTCAATTGACTCAATGACTTTGGTCCCAGCAGACTCCAATTTGACTTTTGTTTCAGCTACGTGGCGCACTCGCCATGCTCTCCTTGGGATATTCCTTCAAGATGCTGGAGACCAGGTCTTACAATTTTCAACCTCCGTGCCCGTGGCTTTGATGTCGAGACTCGAAACCCTCCCAACCTCTAAACGAGGAGCTGCTCAGCCTAGAGGCTACGACTTCAAGTCGTCACAGGAGGCGTCCAAATAAATACGGGAGATCTGGCGGCCTACAGGGGCTTCCGGCGGCAATCTCGGCACTGGAGCCCGGCACTTGACGTTAATGTTCTCCAGCTGTCGTTCGAAGCGCCACAAGGTCCGGTGATCAACGCCGACAAAATGTCTCTGGGAGTGTTCAGATCTACTAGTGATATGGCCGCCTATGGGGATTTTGATCCTGGCGCCAGCTTCGGAGCACGGTACACCGGATGCCGAACATGGCACTTGCAATCAGCGTCTCCGTACGGAGCAAAGCCAGCAGGCCGCGGCTCCAGCTCCAGACGCCTGGCTTCGACATGCTCGGGGGCATGCTTACGCTGCTTACGTTGGCTTACGTGCTTCTGACATATGAGGCTTTCAACTAGCGGGCCTTCCTGAGGATGGGTGCCCTGGTCTCAGGGATGAGCATCGTCCTTGTATGAGCTGGTAAGTTGCACCGTGTGAAAAGGCGGTTTCGGTAGAAAGCTCAGCGCATTCTGGCAACAGTAGTCTGATAAGTTTAGCTTGTAAAGCAATGTTTGAGCGTGCATGAGACCAAAGCTTGCACAGCTTCCTATGATGGTTGGTCATTAGGCCCTAGACGACATCCCGGCATGGGCGGCAAAGGGTTGCAACTGTAAGTCTACATAGACAAGCCTTGGACCTCTTGACTGTAACATCACAGCGGCATAGAGCCGGACCGGACTCCTTTTACGTAGGTTCGCAATCTACTTTTTGCCAGGTTTGCCCGAAGCCCCGTTTGACTCGTTTCTCGGCCCTTGTATGGGCATGGAGCTTCTGTCGGGAGCCAGCACATCCGAATTTGACAGCCAAGCTGTCAGTGGAGCTTGGGTCGCGGCCACTACTTGAGTCATGAGTAATGCAGGGAGGCGCCTGGATGAGTAGAGTGGGGCTCCGAGGTCAAGAAAGGGTTTTCTAGCAAGTACTGTTCAAGGTTTTTTCTGAGCAGGGCTAAGTGGAGAGTTGTCTGCCGCCTGAGTCTAGACTGTGGGCTGAGATTTGTGGCATCGCAGTATGCTAGTTTGCCAGTTTCTTCAGACAGCAACGTACCTCCTTTTTGGACTCATACTATCAATAAGACTGATTTGTATGTATCTTGCATGACCCTGAAGTAGGCATTCTTGGAACGTAAGCCCGGAACGAACGAAAGACTGGCCTGCAGCAAGCATACAAGAACACTTCTAACAATGGGAGGGCCCTCTCCCAATGCTCTTGTCGCACCTTTTCTGAAGCCTGGCGTCATTCTCCTATTCTCCAAGCCCTGGCTTTGGCCCAGTTGCAAACGATTGCGTTGCTAGGGGGACGATGAGCGTGCAAGCGCCCGCGCAAAGCAGCGCCAGCATGTCTAAGTGGCAGCGGCTGCAAAGTCCTTTGGGCAGCGCAACCAATCAGTGCTTGCTAAGTAGACCCCTTGTAGTCCCACGCACGGGCGGGCCGGCAAAATCAGGGCTTCCAGCTGAAGCACATCATGGGGCAAAGAATCACGGGCTCCAGCTGCCAACGCGAAATTATGGTTTCAGTTTCGGAAAGGAAAAAGCAACAACTTGTGAAGAGTCTTTTTTGATCAGGCGACAGGAGGCTAAAACTAGAGTATAACGAGGCGTGATCAGGCTGTTCTCATCGATACCTCACACTGTCAGGCACAGGCCGTGAGTCGGGTTCATGGTACAGAGTGGTTCTTTGAACATTTAGCACAAAATCAAAGCTTGCTGCCGTGCTTCCTGGCCAGTTGATGCAACGCTGCTCAGAGCATGGTAACTTAGCAACGAAATAGCTGGCACCCATGTCCGTGGTGCCTGCTCGAGTTTGCCGCTGCCATCTCCTCCTCACAAGTGGAACAAACACATACATGACAGCATAAGACACCTTGCAACACCGGGATGCATGAGGGGAGGACGTGCCACAGGCGGTTGCGTGCGGGCGTTTGAACTAATCTCAGCAGGGTATCCGGCTTAGTTCCATCTTGGGGCGCAGCAACGACGGTCTAGAGGTCAAGCAGTGCGAAATTCTGGTTTGTGCATGCAGTTCGTGTTTTCGCTCCAGTAGTTCAAGGCTTCAGTGTGCGGGCTCAGGTAGAGGTAGCCTGTCTGGGAGTCCTAGTAAGCTTCGCAATGTTTGCGAGAACTTCAGTGACTCGTCAATGAAGGCATCAGACTGGGAGTGCTCCTCACGAGAAATTGCGGTGCAGTCTTCTGGTGTTCTGGAACTTGGTGCCATCACTTGTCATGAATTGCGAACAGCTGTGACACAGGCATGGGTTTGTCAAAGCCAGCTAAACTCTCAGCCCTTCGAGCCCTAAACCCTCAACCGCAAGCCCTGTTGCATTGCACACTTCATGTGCCAGATGGGCCAGATGGCAGCTCTGATGTTGAATTCGTGCTCGGAGGAGGTCCGGCCAGTTTGGACCTGTGTTTCTCTCACATAGAGTTGACGATCTACCGTTAATGCTCACGGCTCAGGTTTCATAGTTTAAGTCAAGTCTTAGGGTTGGCAAGAATTTTGCCGGGGGAATTGAGGGACGCAAGGAGTAGACTCGGTAGAGAAGATTTCAAGCAACAGCTGTGCATTTGGAAGGCTTACGAAATGCACGCATGTCTCTGCCAGACACAGAGGCCACCCGAGCGCAATCCTTTCCCCCACGCCTCCAACCACAACATACGGAAAAGGGAGGGCAGAAGTCGGTCTTCTTCTGTCAAGATCATTGGGACTTGCGGTCTGCGAGGAAAGCTTACATCTTGGCTCGCAGTCTTAGCACTTCAAGAGTAAAGCCGTAAGCTCTCGAAGCCCTGAGAGGCTCAGCCCACAGATCCTTGACATGTATTCTGCAAGGCATCGACCCTTTCAGCAGCACATAGGTTTCTGGAGGTTTCGTCGCAAATCCCGCTGGTCGAAACTTGCAATTTGCAGTATAGTGTCTCTGCATCCTGCACACTTGAACTGTGTGGTACTTGGCCGGCACACAGTGTTTGGCCGGAAAAGATGGCAGAAGGTTTACGGCCCTACGATCTTCATGCTCCTGTCAGACATCATGGTAGTTGTCACTTCGTTCAGGGTAGCTTTCTCGAGGAGCAGCCTGCCAGTAGATTCACATCGATGCCGCCATGTCTGAACGACGTGAATGCTGCAGTGGAAATCAACTCTGGCAAGGGATGGCAAGTCCTTTACCCCAAGCACGCGCTCGAAGTCGAGCCTTCCTCGGAGTCCATCAGTCTTCGACTTCGAGAGGATCACAGCGTGCTCTCCGAGGTCCCTCTCACCGAGAACCTCCGCAGCTGCGAGGAGCTGAAGGCTTCAGAGCTGGGCAACTTCAGCCTACGAGCTGAAAGGCGGGAGAGGTTTCTTTGAGTGCCGTTCTTGAACTATAAGTATAGAGATCTTGGAATAAGCCTTTTCGACTCCTCTTGAAGGGTCTACTGGAACGTCCAGGTGGCTGGAGCGGGAGCAGATGTCTGTGGCCTTGGCTGCAGCACAAGCCGAGCTGCGAAAGCAGCGGTTGAAGAGCAACATACTGAAACATCATCAGAAGCACACTGACGCTTGGAGAAAGCGTTTTGTCTGCTTGTTTGTTCTGGCAGTGTTCTTCTTGGGTTGCACTGTCGTGCTTCTGCGGCATCTGGCACCGGAGCTCATGGGTGTGTTCTGGGTTTTTGGCTGCTCCTTGATTGCCTTCTTTATGTGGACCCTTGACCACCGATGGTTGCGGCCTCTTGTTAATCTCTGTGGAATGTTCATGACGTATTTCGCAGTTTGGTCCGTCTTTGTGGTTGGGGTGTTTGGAGCATACACTTACCTAAAATGGAACCGATGCTCGGAAGATACATTTGTGGACGTGCTAGTTTGGTGGGACTTTCTGCCTCTTTGCATCATCCCTTTCTGTCTTCCTGCTCATGCTTGGTTCCGACACAAAAAATGGGCCGTGAAGATCTACCCGGATCTCCTGGAAGAGCATGCTCGAGGAGAAGCTGTTGAAAACAGCATCGTCTTTCACGGGCGAGTGCTCCCAGGGAAGCAACGGCCATGTGTATGCTCATGGCCTGGGAAGTATGAATCCGCCTGGGATGCAATGGTTCGCTCCAGCGAGACCAGCGCTGCTGTGGTTTTCCTACCAAAGGGTAGTGAGCTTTTCGGAATTTGCGACCCAATCCCTGCCAAGGAAGGGCTTGCCGGTGAGTGCTGGTGTATACCACTCTATGGGGAAAAGAAGGTGTGGGGTTGTAGATGGTGGACAAACTGGATCGAGAATGTTGAGGAGGCCGTGAAGTATGGCGCCAAGCTTCAAGTCTACTTCTTTGAGCACGCCATAGGGAAAGGCAAAGTGAAGAGCTTCAGCGCGCTGTCACAAGAGAGCTTGCGACGGGATGCGCTGTGCAAGAAGCGCAGCTTTGTTTTCGAGGCCTCGAAAGTGTTCCGGGAAGCTCAGGATGCAGGCAGCTAGGTGCGGCTTTCGGCATGTTTTTTGGTCTACGGAGGTACACAACAAGAGACATTCGTGAAGAAATTTTGAGGGGCCCTGAACCCTGAAGCTTTCCAACTGAGGTATTGAAGAGCTTTGCAAGGGGCAGCGCCAAGATGGCTCTTCACAATATCAGCGCGAGAAACATCGACTCTTCCTCAGCTGGCTCTGCCCTGAGGACCCGGTGGATGTTTGCCATTCACCGAATGTAAATCCTACATACTACTACCATCATTCTGACTGGTACCTCTAACGACGACGACCCAAAAATAGTACTGACACGAATAGCGATAATCTTACTGTTCACCCTCACTCGCCCCCTTCTTGTTTTCCCTGAACCGTGAATTTCCCTCAACCCTGAACCTGAGACATTTCCAAACCCGCTTTGCAACGTGTTGATAAACCATAGCGTCAATAAGCTCTAAATTAAGCTTTGTGTTAACCCTTGTGAAAAATCGAAGCACCACAACGTAGCTTTCTGAACAAAGCCCTCAGGACCGACAGTTTCTTCTCGATTCCGATGGCCTGGGAAACTCTCAGAAGGCGGAGGTGGCATGGCTGGAGAGGAAACTCGGATCTTCTATAGGTCTTCTATTAGTTCAGAGTTTTTTGCCAGCAGGTTTTTGCGCACCCGCTGTAGGATGCTTATGGGGCTTGAGATGTGTTGTCTATATTTGTTGCTGTGGGCTGTGTTGGTTGGCCAGGACTTGCAGCGCCCTTCTTACGAAGTCTCCTTTTACTGCTTCGTGGTTGTAGACTTTTAAGAAGGAGCTGAAAATTTATCATAAGAACGAACCGATCTTCAAGTTTGAAAGGACTTCCAAGAAAAGCTCAGGAGAGGTTACCCCTACGAAGAGGTTGACGTTTCACCCTGGCTCCGTATGTAGTGCTTTTTCAGGAGCCTCTTTTTCCTGTGATATCTGCGCCGTTCTGTATTTTATTTCCCCACACAGATATTTCATGATCATTGCTAACCTAATGCTGTCATCATTCAATAACTCCTATGCTTTTTCGAAACCCGGGTACGGTACAATCTAAAGCTTTCCGCAACTCTTTCAAAGACACCATGAACTTGTTTGAAACAAGTTGTTTGTGTCCAGTCTGCATGGACTGCAAGGGAGAGCGCTTCTTCCAAAGTGACGTTCAGTTTGCCCACTCTACAGCCCGCGATTCAAGCCTTCGACAGGAATCGGTACGTTGCAAGGTTTAGAGTCTAGGAGGATGACCGCGCTTGTTGATGGAAGCTTGTACTCTTCACGCACTTTATTCTATCCGTGCAGAGGGCTTAGCGTGTAAAGCTGATGGCATCCACGTCACCTCGCAGTCGAATTTGCCAGCATGGCTATGCTTGCGATGCCCATTTCGGGCAACTCAAGTGCGGTATGCACGACGGTGTACAGCAACGGTAGCCGGCGTAAAGGCTCGATAGCAGCCTCGGCTCTATTCCAGAGGAGTGCAGTGTTTCTTTGGTACATTGGCCTGTCTTGAGCGACTATGGCCCTGTGTACTCCACACCTTAGCCTGAGCATCCGTCTGAATAAAGCAGCTTCACAACCTTGGGACGTCTGCACAAATGCCACGACGGCTCACATGTTTTCAACAAAGTAGCCCTAATGCCACGCCTCAGGGTTGGTTTCTTCGTGCTTTCCGGATAACCCCCGAACCCGGCGTTACACCTCGCCGGCACTTTGAAGAAGTTGATGGTTCCGGCTGCACATCCCCGACTTCCACCTCAGATCGTCCAGAGTGCATTATGCTTCTCACGGAGTCACAGCGTTACGAATATTGTGAGACGAGGTAATTACAAGGGTCACGGGGATGGAGGGAATCACAGTCACGCTGGTCCCGGGGTCATAGAGTTGTCGACAAAGGTCACGCGTTTCTCAGCATTCTCACCGGACCCGCTCTGTGGCGTTTTCATGGGCAAGCGTGTCTGAGCCGAGGCTTCTGAATGCTGACACGTGTGCTAACTGACATGCGCAGGATAATACTTTCTTTTGCATCAGTCAACTGAATCCGAGGCCTCGATCCGAAGCCCGGTACATTTGCAACAGATCCCTGCCCAGGTCTTCAGCATTTGGTGGCAGCCATCAGCGAGCCATCTAAGCACGATAGTTACAAGCACAAACAATTGTGTGTGATGCCGCCGTAGTGTGTAAATAGCTGTGTTTGCATATTTCTTTGAACATTGGGCGCTCGAGGCTGGGCACTCGCACAACCCAACAGAATCACAATCAAACCCATCATTGCTGCCTATGCTGCCCCCTTCCAGAACCCATCTCTGAAACGACACGAAACTGTCTGTCAACCCGCCCATCATGAACGCTTGCAGCTCACACCAAGCCCCCACCAACGAGGTTCCCAACAGGCTAGAAAAATGTTCTCCCCATTGTCTTCCAGCTTCTACACACATATAAAAAGGAATGTATACGAAAACTTTTAATTGTATCTCCACTTTGCTTTGTGTCCTTATTCGCGCAGGCCCCTTCATGTGGCCGTTCCACAAAACACACCGCCGCTTCATTTGCCGTTCTGGTTCCGGTGCACATATCGAAATACGCTTTTCACTCAGCGGTTTCTCTCATGTGCACCTATATATACATACATATTTATTGAAAATAGATTTGGTTGAATTTTTGTTTCAATCTCTTCCTTTTTTTTCGTTTTCTAAATAGCATTCTCGTCTGGCTTTCTTCTTTTGGTTCGAGAGGAGGTCAGGTGTATATATTATAGGCAATTTAAAATCTTGAGATGAAATATCGTGCGTATCTCATTTATTCATATATATTATCGATACTAAAGATTTTTATATATAGTGCATGCAGTAGCGCTTGCACGCGAAAGTTCAGTATCTGTCTGTCTATCTGTCTCGTCCGTCCGTCCGATCTGTCTAGCTCTCTCTCTTTCTATGTCTCTTCTCTGTCTTCAATCTATCTCTTCTTTGTCTCTTCTCTGGTTCTCTTCTGTCTCTTCTCTGCCTCTTCTGTGTCTCTTTTCTAATTCTTCTCTATCTCTTCTCTGTCAATTCTCTGTCTCTTCTTTGTCTCTTCTCTGTCTCTACTCTATCTCTTCTCTAATTCTTCTCTATTTGTCACTTCTCTGTCCCTTGTTTGTCTCTTCTCTATTTCTCTTCTATCTCTCTTATTTATTTTATTCGCCTTTCTTGTCTATCTTCTTTGCCTTGGCTGTCGTGTCTTTTTGTCTTGTCTGTCTTGTCTGTCCGATCTGTCCTGTCTGTCCTGTCTGCTCTGTCTGCCCTGTCTGTCTTGTGTCTGTACTGTGTTTGTCTTGTATCTGTCCTGTCTGTGTCCTGTCTGTCTTTGGTCTGTCTTGTCTGTTTTATTTGTCTTGTCTGTTTTGTTTGTCTTTTCTGTCTTGTCTGTCGTATCTGTCTTGCTTGCCTTGTCTCTCTTGTGTGGCTTGTCTGTCTCGTTTGTCTTGTGCATAAAATTCTTAGTGGTCATTCTTCTTTTGGCATTTGTGTTGATTTTTTGAATCTGTCATTCTTATTTGTCAGTTTTTAAACTATATCTCGCGGCATGTTACATTCTTCGGAATTATGTGTCAATTGTATATACAAAATATTTAGCCAAGCATTTTATATACAAAAATTACTAAATAAACCACGCCAGCCAAAGAAAAAGTGCCAGGGCCCAGGACCCTTGTGAGAATTCTTTACAAAGTCTGCCGGTGCTGCCCCAGAAGTTGTTCAAAAAAATGATTTGCTCGATGCTTGGCGGCATTATGTTAAATAGTGGTGCGTAAGCGCCGTGTTGGCATGTCGTGATGCAAGTATTCAATGCTGCAATTTATGAGGGCCAGCAATGTCGACTGGGTGGAGTGGTGGAAGAACGCCCGGAATGAGCCATGGGAGATGTGCCGCGCAACATGATGTTGCGTGCCGTTATATCTTGACTTATATAGAAATTCCTTTGCCATTGCAGGAGACCACCAGGATAGTTTTGGAGTTCTTTGCAGAACCCTCGTTTCATGCTTCAAAAAAAGTCCTTATTGCATGCGTCGGTGTTGCTTTCACTCCAGGAACACACACGTACGTATATGCGTGGTGCACAAACAAACTGTGAAGGCGAACACAAACGGCTTGCCGAGTCTTTGCTTCCAGCAACATGTCAATGGCAAAAAGTCTTTCCTATTTCGTTGCAAAAGCCTTCAACTCCAAAAGTTCAGAAGCGCAGGGAACCTGCGACCGAGCATTTGCAGCAGAAGCCCCGAAAGAAAAGCCACTTAGGCGGCGGGTTCTAGCAACATGTCAGCGTGTGAGGCATTTCGCGTATGAAGCTGCCGAAACGGCATTCCTTTAGAATTACACAACTGATGAGGTATTCCTTTAGAATTACACAACTGATGAGGTTCTGGCTTTTTTGAAGCTGCAAGGCAGGAATGGCGCGGGCGCGGGGCTTTTTGCTGACGAGTAGTCCAGTGGCCTCTACATTGCGATGTGTATAGATTCAAAAGCCTACCATAACATACACAAAAACAACGTTTGACGTTCAGATAGGCTTGCCTAGCACATGACCTAGCACTCGTTGTCGAATTTCATTTGTAATAGCATCGACCGCAGCCACAGAAAAAAAGCCCGGTCTTCGGCCTGCAAAGACACCCTTATTTCAGCGTACAGATGCAACGGGCAGAAGGCGCATGCGAACTAGATGCAAGTCGGGGATAAACTCCTTTCTATGTTCGCTGCGAACAAGGGCCTGTCCCCTGCGGCTGAAGGTGTCAGGATGCCGAGGCTTTCACGGAGGCTAGCAAGCTATGTGAAACGCGAAAAAGGTTCCTGAAGCCAGAAGCCTGGAGGCGCCTCTGCTGAGATCGTCGGCATGCAAGAGGCTATTAGAGGGGGGGACCTCATGGATGGAGAATCTACCGCCTAAACTCAGCTCCGAAGCCGTTCAGGATCTGGTTAACGACTTCAAGCTCAATTACCCGGGCGAACTCCTGGACGACGACACAATGCCTAGTATACGCCTACTTAGCCTCGTCCAACATAGCCTCAAGCCTGGAGAGAGGATACGATGGATCCCCCGGCAATTTCGCTTAAGTGCCAAGCAATACCAGGAGATCATGGAAGCCAAATCATCCAAGCCTATGAGGACGGCGGCGCACATACTCGCATCAGCCTTGTACTACGAGACGCCTCACATGGCTGTCCCCCCT